ATTTCTTTCTCAAGTAAAGTATGTTTTCATAGTATATGAATTTGTTGGGTTTGGCAAGTCATCTCTGTCCATCTTTGCTAAGATCAACGTTTCACTTGAAAAAGCTCTTTTGACTACATGTGAACCTTCCGAATTCAACGTCCATTTTTCTCGATTATCATGTTGATTTGAAAGAATTTTCTTTAAAACCAATTTTTCCTCACGAAAATGCCTAAATCGAACTTTCTTGTCATGTGCTTGCATCATTCTTTTTTGTTACAACTGATCATGGTAAAGAGCTGTGGGCCTCTTCTCTTTAATGAGGTTCAATTGTTTGTAATAATTCCAAACCCATTTTGCTTCTTCTAAATCTACTTCCATTAAGATTCTCAAAGAGAAAATTTTTACCTCAATTGGCAACATGACCTCCATCCTAGATACAAGCGAAAAAAGAGTTGCCCCAATAGTTGTGCATATTGATATCTTAAGCAACTTTTCATGCTAGTCCTTATAAGTATTAGTCATTTTTTCTATTATTCTCTCGATATTTTTATTGGCAGCTTTTATCGCTCCATTCATTTTTGGGTGACACAGGGTTGAGTTATGGTGCTTCACCTTAAATTGAGCACAAACTTTCGCTAACATTATGTTATTATGATTGTGAGCATTATCAGAGATGATTTTTTCTAAAAGGCCATAATTACATATTATCTCCCTCTTATAAACTTGCATACCATCGTCTTTGTAACATTAGCATAAAAAGCTACTTCAATCCATTTTGTGAAATAGTTAATCACTACAAAGAACAAGTAAAAATCACGGCTGTTCAACTTGCATGAGGGGTACTTTTTGATACTTCTTGGTCCTAACACAATTTTCAATAAAAAAAAGCAGCTCCCCGAGCTGCTTCTGCACTTGGCTACGTGGTCGAAGCACGTTGGGGTCATATTCATCTTTACATTGAAAGCACAAAGCTGTTTAGCATGATTTGCTTGTGGAATGCTCATTCCCCCCCCCCCCCCCCCCCACAAAAAAAAAAAAAAAAACCCTCACCCCACCCTAAACACATAGACATACATGCACTTATTTATATGTATATACAGGGTGAAAAAGCTCTCTTCATGGAAAGTCACCGGAATTGTTTTGGTTGGATTGATGAATGGTTTGGGATGACAATGCAACAAATACGTGAACTTGAACAACAAGGTGATTGCTTATTAAATGAGGTAAGACTCTATCTTCTGGGCCTCTAGTCCTCATTTGATAGAAGTTTGAGAAGTAACAAATGTTTGAATAAATGCTTATTTCATCTTTAAACTTATATTCTCCCCAAACCAAAATTGAGTGTGCTATAGCATTCCTAGAACAAGAGCATACACGCGCAGAAACAAATTGTAAAAAACTGGATGAGGTTAATGTTCAAGTTCTAGCTCTTTGCAGTCTTTTAGGTTTCTTATAATGTTGATTGAATAGTATGTGTGAAAATTCAAGTGTGTTTACTGGGAAGAGATCAAAATGAAATGACAATAATAAGCTGTGCAGGATTCATATTATTATCATTGTTATGTGCTATTAACATCTTGCTTATAACATTTCTGTATCTGTCTTAAGTTTTTTTCCAACTCATGTGTACATTATTTGCTGGGAAAATTTGAACACTACAGCATGAAGTTTTCCCAATCTTTTGTAGTGGTAGTTAAAGGTACTTTTCTGTTCTTCATATTGCACACATGAATATGGTCAAAGCAAAGCAGAGATGAAATTCTCTTCTGAAATTTTAGTAATGCTCAAGTCCATGATATTGAGACTGACCTTTTTCAGATTCATGAGAAGAAAAAGGGTATGATATGTGAAGGAGCAATTAAGTTGTTACGAAACCTTGAAATGTAATCCAAGCAATGATGGCCTGCTGCAAAGTTCTTGGCGTGTCATTTCTTTTCGGTTTTAAAAACCTTTCATATGGGAAATATATCTGAATTATGTCACTATCTGTCAATTCAGAGAAGACTTCCTACACATTCTGCATAAATTTGCCATTAGTGTGTTGGCCCCTACTTATGCATTAGTTTAAAATGCAATCTTAAAAAACCAGTCTAGATTTGGCATCTGCTACTCTGTAACAATTGTTGATATGTCTACTTGAATTTGAATCAGCCTGGCTTGTATTTATGTCTACTTGAGTTGGAAAGTGAAAGAGCATAACCATTTGATTCGCTGCATATGATTTCATTTCCGCTTTCTTTCTGTATTGGTTGCATTAGCAGAAAAGCAGCAAGCCAATTTTGCTGACCGACGGAGAGGATTGCGAGCAAAGGTTTTCCCATAACAGCGGAAGACATGTACAGCAAGTGGTCCATACTTGATTTTCAAGCAGAATGGTGTTTCCTTTTTAGGCATAAACCAGGTTCTATTTGGATATGCCTTACGACTTCAGAGTGGCAGGATGAAGAGCAACAAACAAATTCAAACCCAAAACAGGAATTCTTACATTGTATTGAACCTATGATTTCGAATTGTCATTGTTTCCAAGAGTTTTGCATTAAGTTTACAGTAGAAATTTTTTGTATTATGTAATGTGAATATTATTTATCAGAGACTGTCTGAAAATATTTATTCAATTTGGATCATACACAAGTTGAGAAGCAATGTTATCTGGACCGCTAACCAACTTCTTTTATGCACAATACTGATTCACTGAATGATCGTTAAGACATTAACATGACATATACATATGTATGTATGTATGTATGTTATGTATCATTATCAAATATCGATCTTTTGGTCTTCTTAACACTTATTAGTTATTACCATTAGATAAGTATTATCATGTTTTTATTAAACAGTTAGAATATTCTTTTGTTGGTAAAACACTAGGATTTATTTATAAAAAAAAATAAAAGCATACTTTAAAATTAAATAAAAAGAAAGAGTTGGGTTTCATATTTCTTTTTCAAATAATAAATAAATAAATAAAAGATAAAAATAGAATGTTGAAAGGTCGTCATCTAAGGTAGAAAAAAATTATTAAAAATGTTAAAATGTATATTTTTTAATATATTTAAAAGTGTAAATGATATATCACTTGATTTTGATTTGAAAAAATTTTAAATTTAATTTAATAATTATCAAATTAAACTCAAATTTAAGTAACTTAATTTGTTAATACAACATCTTACAAATCCAAATTGAGAAATTTTTTTATTTTATTTATTTTTAAAATATTTTTATTATTTTTAATTAAGATTTTACCCTTAAAATATATATCCCCGAACTAAAATGCCTTAATATATTAGCTCTCTGCCCCATTCTCCCGACTCGCCTCCCCTGCCTGCCCTTTCCTCTTCCCGAGTCCCGATACCATCGCGGCTGGGCAGCCACCCTTCCATCCCTATTTTCTGGCATCAACTCTCCGTTCTGGAGCCTTTTGCTGCTCACTTCATCCCTATATTCCTCTTAATTCTTCAACTAGGCCTAGAAAAAGAAAAAACCCAGATTGTATGGCAACTTAAACCTTTCATTAATGGGTTTAAACTTTTTTGTCACTTGTAAAATTGTATTACCTGTAATCAATGTAGTTTTGAGTTATTGCAACTGTTTAATTCGTAAAATCCTTTGTTTCTTGCAATTGTCTAGGTTTAGAGTGCATGAGTCTTTAATGTGCCACCCTAGCAGCTGGAAATTTTATTTCTAATTTATAGGTCTCAGGTTGGAATTATGCAGAAGGAAGAGTTGGGTTTATAGGAAGGAGACAATTACTCTTTTTTTTTAAAGCTCATAGAGTTTCCACATTTACCAATAATCCAAAAAAAAAATGTTTAAGTGAGCATGATTCCTAGTTATTTTAGTTTTTGATATATTGAAGGACTAAATGAAGCCTAGATGGAAAGGAAAAGGCTCAGAAGCCATAGCTATTGCTGATCCCATGTCAAAACTAGTCTCAAAGCTCCAATCCTCTTTGATCCAATCCGAGACTCGTGGTTTACTCTCAAGCTGCAGTGTTCTCGTTGAAATGGATGCTGAATTGGCTGATCTTTTCAACCGTGCATGTTTCGGTCGACCGAGAATTACAGCTGAGAAGGACAAACAATTGTTTCAGTTGGATATGGAGGAAGCCTTTTATTTGTGCTTTTCACTCAAGTGCCTCAAGGTCATCGGTGAAGATGGTTGTATAAAGAGTAATGAAGAGCTTTGGGAGTACTTGAAATCCAAAAAGGCTGTGTTTCCTGTTTCTTACAAGGCTTTGTTCTCATCTTAGGCATAAAAATTGGGTTGTGAGGTCAGGATTGCAGTATGGTGTGGACTTTGTCACCTACCGTCATCATCCAGCTCTTGTCCATTCTGAGTACGCAGTGCCGGCATTATCAGACGGAGATAATGATCTAAATGGTCGATTGAGAGTGTGGTCAAATGTTCATTGTACAGTTCGACTTTGTGGAACTGTTGCAAAAACATTATTTAATTGTTATCGTAAATAAGAATAGTCAAGGTGCTATCTCTCCATCATGTTTAGAGCACTACACTGTTGAAGAGCAAACAATCACAAGATGGAATCCAGAACAAAGCCGTGAGGAGCAGGCAGTTCTTCAGAATCAAACAAAGGTATAAATTAGAATCTTCTGCGCTTTACCCTGTATTTGTGTTCTTTTTATAGTTTACTTGCTTTATAATAAAAGCTTTTATTTCTGAAATGAGCATCAAGACCACTTGTTTGACATGGTACATGAGGGAGGTTGAAGTATTATGTAGTTTCATGAAATAGAATATACATGGTGCCAAATCAAGAAAATAGTTAGTGGTGGTTTAATTCACTGTAGTTATTTCTGAGTTTTGTATCTGAGTTTTTGGACCTTCAAAATTTATTTCTTTAACCTACTGTTCAATCGATATTTAGGTGAAAATTGACAAAACCACTTGAAAATTGAAACTAATTGTTGATATAGCTTAAGGGGCTGGAGTTGGAAGAAATCCTTTGTCCCCCTAAAGGAAAGAGTGGGAGAAAAAACCCACATATGAAGAAAGAGGGAAAGCAATGTTAGCATAAAACATTTTTGAAAAAAAAAAAAGTGTCAGAATGTGCTTGAATACCATGAAAGCCAACATATACAAAAACAACTTTAAAAAATCAAACCAAATTCAAGTTCACTTGTTATTTCACACAAACCATTCCTAAAATGGTACACGGAAACACATACATTCTCCTCAATAAAGCGAAGCTTCCACTTACGTCTAAAATGTATTTTAGTATCTTTCTACAGCTGGATCCTACTTGGTTGTGCTTTTGTCATCCGTGCCTCGCCATAAGGTTCATTATTATCAATCCTCTTATTGTTTCTGAAAGCGGCGCAGCCAATGACATAAAAGATCACTAGGAGGATAAGCACAACAATGTTGATCACCGACACCTTCCTCCAGCTCTTCTTGAGGCTGCCAAGCACACCGGCCTTGCAGGAGTCACACTGATAGCACAGCAGCTGTTGGTCATTGCTCCATTTTGAGCAGTTGAGGTCAGTTCCGATCAATCCTCCTCCTGGGTTCCATAGCGTCTCGTTGACATAGACAAAGCCACAGTCTGTTGGAGGCTTGCAGCAACCAGACTACAGAGACAAATTCAGAAGTTTTGTTGTCATTAGTTGCTTAAAAGAGATACCCTGTAAAATTCTAGTGACTTGCAAGTTGTAGAAAGCTCTAGTATTTTTTTTTTCCTGATTAAGGTCAATTTTGTCACTATAATTATTATATTTTATTTTTAGTAAACTGTGTTACTATATTTTTAATTTTGTTGATTTGTATATGTAAGGTAACAAAATCGATTGTCTTAATATAAATTTGAAAAAATAAAAAAAAATTTCAATTATAAAAATCGATTATTATATTCAATTTCATCGATCATGATTATATTTGCATCTTAATACATATCTTATAACTCATTTTATTTTTTAATATAATATTTAATCTCACCATTATAATATATTATTATAATTATTTTCAATATTTTCAATCTCGTTTTTCATTCAAATAAAACTTTAATAATTACGACAACTAAAAAAAGTAAAAATCCTTTAGTTATTACATCAACTAAAAAAAACATTCAGCAATTGAGATAGAGGAGATCATGTTGTCACCCAAGAAAAGAAAAGAAAAGATAAGATAAGAAAGATACCAAAATATTTTTAGGTAAAAGAAACCCATAGAATCCCACCTTTTCTTTCATCTTTTTCTCCGTTTTTGCTGCCTCTTACTAAAGTTGGAAGCGGACAAAAATGAATAAGTGATGAACTAACAAAAAGGCAATCAAGACATGGATATAAAGCAAAAAAAGCTAACCCCTAACGGAACATTCTATCTTAATGATTTGGCAGCTGCGGTAAAAAGAAAAAGCAGAACCTCTGCTACTTTATTCATAGGAAATGTTGATTAAATTTTATATGTAATTTTTTATTTACATAAATAAAATTAAAAAATTAATATATGACTCAATTTTTTAATTAATTTTTTAAAAATTTTAATATACTTTAAAAAGTATATATCATGTTATTAATTCCATTTATAAAATAGATGAAATAATTTTTCATACTAAATTTATCGAAAATCTCCAAACTAAAATAAGGTTCTGCGATTTGTGAGAGTTAGATAAACGATAAGACATAATTATTGGTTTAGCGCATGCCTGATGAAGCCACCCGCCATTGTCGTGTAGTCAATTTTATATTATTATCAAAAATAGGAATTTTAAGTGTTTATTGAACAGTGGAAATTTTGAAAATAAAAAAAAAAAAAGGTTAGTACCAATATTTTTTAATTTTTCATGGGTAAAATTGAAATAATATGAAAAAATTATTTCATTTGTTGTTAAAATGATACAAATTGAAACACTCAGAAGAGAAGGATCATATCTTTATTAAACCATCAAATTTTTTTTAAAAAAAAAAGAGAATATTTTCTCAAATAACAAGAAAAATAAAGATGTATCTCATCAAAACAAAGTCAAAAAATTTGGCAAAATTTGAGTGGTCAGACCGCCATGGACGGGGCCTGAACTGAGCTGGCAAAGTGGCACTGGCAGTCAAACATACCGCTTTGCGTTTCGCATGCCTTAATTATCTTAGTTTCTTCTATTAACAAAAATTACAACTTAAAATAGATCTATTTTTTTTAAAAAAAATTATAAATATTAAAATTTAAATTTTAAACACTTTGAATGCGATTTTTTAAGCACTCGACAAAAAGAACTATCCTCTTTTCCTCGTGTTAAATATGCCCTAAAGCAATGACTATTTACTCTTTTCCAAGCCATTATAGAAAGTAAACATGCAAAAGTTAGGCAACATAAAATACCCAACTTTATCTAAGATGGTCCTCTTAAATTCATTTTGCTTAACCTTTAATCATAAAATTTTGTTATATGGGTTAGTAACACTAATTTATAAACACTTAATTTTTCAATAAGTTATTCAAAAATCAAAATTTTTCTATAAAAATGAAATTTAAATTATATCACTTACAAAATTTCAAGAGGTTTTAAGCTATAAATATAATTAAAATATTAGATTAGCAAGTTTTATAATGCTATTAGATTTGAAATATATGGTTAAATGGTAAAACTTTGCAATAAAAGTTAGAAAAAAAAAATGCATACCTCAATAGGGCTAAGCTTCCTCATAGAAAACATATCATAAGTTTCGGGGACACCATTAAAATTTCTTCCCATCTTGCTGCAAACTTTAGAATCACTAATACAAGAGCTAATCTTAGCCCAATATTTGTCATCTACCACTCGGTCTTTGAGCCAACCAGAGTAGTCCTGCAAGTAATACTCCAAATAACCTTTGTTCATCACTGGCCGCCCTGACCCTTTATCTGTCACAGCATAAGCAAAGATTATGAAGCCGATGAGCGCGCCGATGATGAAGAACATGACAAAGAGGTATAGCCACATCAAGAAGGTGTTTCTGTAACACGCGCCGGCGAAACCTGCTAAGGAAACAACCATGATTGAGGCTCCTATGACTATCAGTGGCCACTGTAAGAACTTGAGACAATCTGTGTCGTTGGCTCTGCTGCTTAGCCATATTCCACCACCCAAGATTACTATTGACAACAAAAAAGTCAAGAAGTTTAATAACCCTATCAAATGGTTGCTGGCTCTCATCTTTCTGGTTTTGCTTTTCTTTTTTTTTTTTGCTTCCTCTTTTGATCTCTCTGGTAAGTGTAATCTGCTTCTTTTACAGTGTTTTTTTTTCTTCTCTGCTGAGAGAAGCTACTTACAAGTTAATGCAATGACATGGATTTGTTTGATGAAGGTGTTTTTCTTTCATAGGGTTGATGGGCATTATGGAAAGTACTCGCTTTGTTTTTTGCACGTGTCTTAGTTGATGTGAAATGACGACAACACCCTCAGGTTTCATGTAGATATATTATATTTTTAGATTATAATTTTGAGTTTAATCAAATAGTTATTTTTTTTTATTTTTCTTATTTCAATGAAAAATAATATATTTGGGTTTTTTCATGGACAATTAGCATTTAAAATTTTTTTCTTTTAAATTTGTGAAAAAAAGAAAAGAAAAGAAAATAAAATTTAACAAAGAATGACGGATCTAGATGTCAACTAACCTTATTATTGAAAACAAAAAGTAAAGCTGGTCTTCTAGTCTCGAAAAATTAAAGTTTAATAATTTTAAACATGATAATATAATATAAAAATATAAAATAATATTATTTAAAATTTTTAAAAATAATATATAGATTTAGTAAAAACAAAATAATATATTTCATATATTATTATATTAATATAAATTATGATATGATAATTTTTATATTTTACTTGTATTTAACAAAAAAAAAACATAATATATATACACATGAATTGCTAAATAGTATGCTGTACAACATGATTTTCATTCTTTACATTAATACCTATTCAGATTGACGAAGCATGTAATCCACTTAATTTTCAAACCTGTTATAATTTTTTCTTGGGAAGAATCTGAAAACTTCGTTTCGTAAATTCATCACTTGTTAAAATGAGATCCTAAAGTTTGAGTTTGTGTAAAGTTGAGGTCCTGCAAAGAGGTTTCTTTTGTTACCCCATGTGAACTTTCTACATCAGAATGTTCAAGAAATTAGTGACTTGAAAGGGTTTGTTTGTACCTAATTGCTTTGAATTCATGGCTTCTTGGCATGTGCATGTGCATTGTGCTCGACGATGGTGGTTGAAAACTAGCTAGATTGCTGAAGTAAAATTACTAATAAGTCCTTTTAGAAGCAGTTGCATATAGTAAAAATACTAATAATGCTTTTTTTTTTTAAAGAGAAACTAATGCGGGAAACGAAGAAGAAGATTTTAATTTCAATCTCACAAAAGTTTATAATTTATTTATTAAATAAACATGGATCAATTATTTAAATTAAGCTTCGAATTTAATAATGGAGAGCTTTAATATTTTTTTTGTTAGAGCAATGATTAAAGTATACATAATAAACACATGGTTTTTTTTTTTTTTTTTTGCCAAGAACATATATGATACTTTAAGTTACCGTTGATATAGAAAAACATTTTGTGTCAGGGTTCCGATTTTCAAAAATTATTTTTAAAATATAACTTTAACATCCATTTACAAATATAATTTTTACATGTGAAATGATTATAGCGACTAGGGAAAAAATTTAGAGAAAATGAAATTAAAATTTATTTGAAGGATTTTCTTCGGTTATCATGCCCGAATTAGCTGGCTTAGATGAAGCAATTGATTATATTCACAGGACTTAAAAGGTAGGTTTAATTTTTAATTAAAAGTATAATTCATTGAGTTTGAATAGATATATTATTAAATTAAAGTTTGAATTTGATTCAAAATTTAAGATTCAAAATTTAATTTAAATTTGATTTAATTTAATTTTTTTAATTTAAGCTCGATTCGAGATAAAAATTAAGTTACTTAAACTCGCTCGATTAATATGTAAAAATAAATTTGATTTTTATATTTAACAAAAATTTAATTATTTATGATTGAGTTCAAGTTCGAGATATTATATTAATTAAAATAATAAAAATATATTTAAATATAAAAATTTAATTAGACTCCTGAATTATTTAAGTTGAGTATAAAAATATTTGAATTTGATTCGATCGATGAGTCAAACTATTCGAATTCAAACTCGACTCGATAATAATTGAATCGAATTCTAATAATTTATAAATACTAATGTATTATTCACATTCTTATTTTCAATATAGCTTTAAGATTCTTTCTCCTTCTCGTGTCTTTCTTTCATAGCTGAAAAAAAAAAGTGGTAAAAGAAAAATTTTAAAAACTGAAATTCTTTTTCGACTCTGTATTCAGATCTGGATAAAATATGATTTGATAATTCAACCTTCAATTTAAAAAAGAAGAAAAGAATAAAATCAATCCAAGCAGAATAAAATGAAGAAAAAGGATGGGCAACTAATGGGAAGCCTGACTTTATCCATCTAAAATTATTCAGCCAACCTCAAGGCTTTAAACAGAATAAAATGATCGATTATTTTTTGTTGGATAATTATTGTCATAGAAACCAAGTTTATTATGATGATTCAACTCGCTTTCAAATAAATATATATTATTAATTTTAATCTTACTATTATAATATTCAATTTTAATATTATAATAATTAATTTTATCATTATTATTATTATTATTTTCAATCTCATCAAAATTAATTTTACTATTTATTTAAATATACCCAAAATCATTGCTCAATTTTAATATCAGATGAATGCCTCGTTGCCATTACAATAATTACTTGGCGTCTCGTATTCTTTACAAAATAGAATCAACATGACAAATAAAAAAATGTTTCTAACTCAAATCTCCTTAGATAGTTCTTTGAACAACCATCTATAAACCCGACACATTGTAGCTAATGTTGTCCTATCTTCGATATTAACCAAACATTACATTCATAGTCAAATAGATTCAACCAAAGCAATGACAAGAAATATTTCTATTTTTTTTGAAGTTATATATGTTAAAAACAAAGAACAAGACCTCAAAAATTCAGATTACTCACCTGCCACCACTTTGAAGGCCTGTTAATTCTAAAGCCCACAGCAAAGCAGCAACAAGAGAAAAGCGTCCATTAATTCCAAAGCGATAATCACTTTAAGAAAATGTTTCTTAATTGGATTTTTTTTTGGGCTAGAAATAGGTTTGGATTTATGAATTTTTGCTTGTTCCAAAACCGAAATAAAAATAGTTATAACTAATGGATTATTATTATTATTTTTAGTTAATGTCATAGATAATAAATTATAATATAATATTTAAATTAAAATTTTTTAACATAATATTTAAATTATAAAATTTTTAATTAATAAATATTTATTTTTAATGGGATTAATTTTAAATGGTGATATATAAAAAATTTATCAAAATTTATATTAATTAATAAATTTATAATTTAAATATCATATTAAAATTTTAAATTTTAAATTATTAAATTAAATATTTTATTATAATTTAAAGATATTATATAATATATTTTTTAAGGAAAGAAATATGGCAGTTCCCACACGCAAGTAGTGGACATTCTTCAAAAAGAGAAATTGGAAACAGTGAAAGCACAATTCAGTGAAAAAGATAAAAAAAAATTGGTTCATTTTCTCTTCATTTTTCTCCTATTTATTGGTGCCTCTCCTTTTCCTTCCTCACTGTCACAAAGAAACCACTCTTACCTGCTGCAAAACAAAACCATAGATTAAAAACTACAGCAAAGTAGCAACACTCCCTCGGGTTCTGCGCTGAAGACAACAACCAAAGCAAAGAAGACTCACACTCCACCATCCCCGGAAAAAAGCGTTTAAAAAAAAATAAATCTTCAACTTCCATTCTCAACCTCTCAACCCATGTCTTCATCTTTGCTTCTCACCACACCAAAAACACTACTTTTTTAACAAAGCTTCAAACTCATTATCATTTCCTTTGCTTCTTCTTGTAGTTGTTGTTGAATTACTACACTTGGTAAGTTAACTTTTACAGTATACACTTTCTTTTTTGTTATGTACTTTGGGGTTCCCATGAAAATGCTGTTTCCGTTGTATGTTTCGCATAAGGGTTTTGTTTGTGTTGTGTTTTTTTTTTCTCTTCTTTGGGGTAATGATGCTACTTTTGAACTTCTTTTGTCCTTTGAAACTGATGAAAAAAAACGGTTCCTTTTCTATGTTGATAGTAACTTAGCTCTGTGTTCAATTCGGGAGCTTTATAATGGCATCCTGGCAGACTTTATTCCTTTTTTAAACAGATGTTATAAAGGAAATAGAATCTCAAAAAGGTTTTCTTTTTTATCTCTTTAGTCTTTTCTTTTTTTAAAAAAAATTTAGAAAAATGAGTGATCTTCTCTTTGTTTTATAAGCTGCAGTAGATCTTGTTTTAATAGGGTGCTTTGAACAGTTTGAACGTTGATGTTCTTATCTTCAAAATTTGTTTCTCCATTTCTTTTGCTGAAAGAGTTTTCCCATAAAATATTTTCTGGTGAAACAAACGGGTTAATACTTTATTTATTTATTTATTTTTGTTTTTGGCGCAAGATAAACAAAGGTTTGAGCGGCATTTGACATAATTTGTTCCTGTCCACCCAAAATTTGAACCCCACACTCTGTTTAACCTTTTTATTGTCCTCATTTCACGGCAACAATGGATGAGGAAAGTTCACGTGCTAGATTACGATAATGCCCCTTTGTTGTGTTGAAATGCAGTAAGGAAAACATGAAAAATGGTACTTTTATGTAAATTTATCTGTTTCTGTCCCTGTAAGTGTAGGACCCTTGTGACTATAACAGTGTCCTATGACCATCAACAAAGGTAGAATTTGCGGTGGCATTGAATGGGGTACTGATGAAGAGTTGCTGCTACTGTCTGGTTAATTAATGGATAGTTTCTGCTTTGGCTTTTCTTGGAGATATTCTTTTTACTACTGGTTTGATTTGTTTGATTGGTATATATGTATCTTTTGCCTTTATGGCTTCCTACGAGCTCATTAAATTTTGTCATGCACATTAACCTTGGATTCTTCTGTCTCAGCTTGTGATCTTTTTTTTTTTTTTTTTTTTTCCTGATCTGTTACAGGCCTTGTGGGTCAGGGAAGCATTGAAGTGGTGGAGGATCAATAAACAAGACTTGTTTTTAACTTCGTGACGACAGGGACAAGAGTCTTTAAATCATGCAGACTCCAAAAGCAAGGTAACTTCTATTGCCTTTATGACTGCTCATTCTTCCTCCTGGAAGCATTTATGTAGTTATTCTTGAAAAATAAGCTGAATCGGTGGTTCTTTTCTGTCATTTTAAGCATTGCATTGATATAATGCTTCCTTCTCTTAGGCTGTCAATCCTTATGTTTTGTTGACATATATGATCATCTGGTTTGTCTGGGTTTTAACCAATGCCTAAGGGGCACAGTGAAGATCTTTGCTGGAGTTTCTTTCTTTCCTATTTTTATCTTTAATTTTCTACCCTTTTTATGGAGCCCCCTCCTATCTTTGGATTTTGGAGTTGGGTTTGTCTTCTTTGGTTAATTTGTACTGCACTGATCAATAATTTATTAGAGTTCCACTCTGTAGCTACAATTGATGTACGTGTTGTCTGGTAACCATCTTGAGCTGCAGTTTCTTTTGTCGTGAAAGTTAATTTTTTGTTTGTGTCCTACCATAAGAATTGTTTAAGCCAAGGCCATTAATGACCAGCAGATGCTGCAAGTGAAGTGCTTCATGCTTCCAAAACAAAACTTTTTTGTGGTTATTTGTTCCTTTGTTTAGTATATTCTCAGCAATCTGTTTATTTCACAAGGACCAGGCTAGAGTAGAATTTAAAGCTCTAATAGTTTTGTTCAAATTGAGGATATTGGCGGGCAAAAAATATATAATTCAGAAATGAGAAAAGGAATATAACTAGGATGAACTATAGCTTTTATAAGTTTATGTGATTTAAGAATTGATTTTTCCCTTCTAGAAAATTGTTGTTTGGCTCCATTCTCTTGGGCTAATAGCTAAATTTTAACTGTTTGATCATCCATAATCAATTGGTTTTAGTTCTTAAATAGTTCATAGCTACCCCAACTACAATTAGATTATTCAAGCATTGGGTGGTCTATGACTTGTACTCTAGGAGAGTGTATCTCACTTTTATATTTAATGTGCAGTGACGTTTTGCTGTTAAAGGGGAAAAAATGTAGTCATTGGCATAATTTCTGACTACTCGTCGGCATAATTTAAAAAACTTTACTACCTGAGTGCATAAGGAAGTGATGTTCTTTAAAAGTTTCAGTTTGTCATAATGATGGTTTGGTTGGTCCAGCCACCATGTGGTTAGAAATTTAGGACCTTAACCATTTATTAAGGTAGAGTCTTATGTACAAGCATATAGAGTTCTAGTCTGAAATTTCAAGTGAATCAACCGTCAGTTAACAATCCTAAACTGGAGGCATTTGAAATGTATTCATGAAGCCTTTGATTGTTATTATGCTATTTTCATCTGGACCAAATTATTGATTAACCAATGTTTAGCAGAAATGGATCTTCTGAAGTGCCACAAAGGGTCTCTCCTCGGGCCGTTCGTCAAGTCAAGCCAACCACTCTAGAGACTGAAGCTGTATCTACTTCAAATCCAGCTAGTAGAACTTCAAAAGAGAAAAGCCCCAAAGTTGTTGAGCGCCGTTCAACTAGAAGCCCAGTCTCTGAGGTATACAAAGTAGAGAACATTATACAATATTAGAGAATACTGCTGAACCTTAGAAAAGCTTTTGATAAGTGCATTAAAAGCCCAACTAGTAAAACCTTTTGAGTGTTAAAGGCCTCACAAACTTTATCCAGGTGCGTGTTCCAACTTAGCATTTGTACAACCATTTCCTTCTTTTTTTAGAAGCATGACAATAGGCAACTTCTTGATCTCATGAGTGGTGCTGGGCTTCTCTTCCCCCTTTAAATTGTAATCCATTTTTCAATGAAAACTGATGTTTTACTTTGTTTATTGATATCTTGCATCGAGTTCATTTTTTAAGCATCTATTGTATTGATGGTAGGATTAGGTGATGCAATTAATTTTGTTAGTTAGGAAAGAGATTTTATAATTCCTTATAGAGTGATTCTTTTCTAATTTGCTTGTGGATGCAGGCACATGTTAGCCTCCCATAATATTGCCGTTTTTGAATTAGAAGTAGAGTTTAGCACTTAGAGGATGGCTTTTTGATTCGTATGAGAATATCTAACCTTATCCTCTGTTATTGGTTCAGAATAAGCGCCCAAGCAGAATATCTGAATTGGAGGTACATATTTCTCAACTTCAAGAAGAACTACATAAGGTAAAGGATCAGCTAAGTTTGTCTGAATCATGCAAGAAGCAAGCTCAGAAAGATGTCGAGGAGTCCAAGAAGCAACTGTTGGCCATGTCTGCAAAGCTCGAAGAGTCCCAAAAGCAGCTTCTTGAGCTGTCTGCTTCTGAAGGAACTCGTGTTATTGAGCTCCAAAAGATCTCACAAGAACGGGATCAAGCATGGCAATCAGAGGTTGAAGCTATCCAGAAGCAGCAGTCTCTCGACTCAGCTGCTCTGGCCTCTGCCATGAATGAGGTTCAGCAACTTAAGGATCAGCTTGAAATGGTGGTGGAATCTGAGGCTGCACAGACCAAGCAAGCTGAATCAGCACATTTGGAGCTCCAGAGCTTGAAAGGAAACCTGGTAGAAACACTTTCTCTTGTAGCGAACATGAAAAACCAGCTAAAGGATAGCCAAGAATCAGAAGCTCAGGCCCAAGCATTGGCTAGTGAAACTCTGCTACAACTAGAAGCTGCAAAAAAGACTGTTGAAGCACTTAGGTCGGAAGGCATGAAGGCTGTTGAAGCTTACAACTCCATTGCTTCAGACTTAGACCAGTCAAGGGAACGTGCTTATTCACTGGAAGGACTTGTTAACAAACTTAAGGCTGGGTTAACTGATGCTAGTGGCATCCACTCTCCAGATTCTGATGGTGATCGTATTATTGTTAAGCATCAAGCTGGAGAAAGTGAGAAACCTGAGGAATCTCACCAGCTTGAAGTGGAGATTTCTTCTTTGAAGTCTGAAGTGGCTCGGTTAAGATCTGCTCTTGAAACTGCTGAGATTAAATGCTATGAAGAACAAATCCAAAGCACTGTACAGATAAAGAGTGTTCATGATCTGGTGGAGCAGATAAAATCTGAAGCAAGCTCGAGAGAGGCTGAGCTGTCAGCTGAGCTAGAGAAAGCAAACTTTGATATTGCTGACTTGAAGGCAAATCTGATGGATAAGGAAACTGAGTTGCAGTGTATTTCAGAGGAAAATGAAGAGCTTCAAATGAAGCTTGAGAAAAACCTGTCATGCCAGAGAGAATCAGAACTTGAAAAAGAACTAAAGGTATTGAAGGAAGCTGTCGTTGATCTGAAGGCAAATATGATGGATAAGGAGACAGAACTTCAAAATATATCAGAGGAGAATGAGATGCTCAGGTTGGAAATCAGTAAAAGGGAAATGAACAAAGGTAAAACAAATGCTAAGGTGGCTGCTGAGCTAGAGGTGGCAAGGGCTGCAGAGCGAGAAGCTATTATGAAGCTTGGGCTTGCAGTGGAGGAGGCAGATAAGAATAACAGGAGAGCTGCCAGGGTGGCTGAACAGCTTGAGGCTGCACAGACTGCCAATTCAGAAAGGGAGGCAGAGTTGAGAAGATTAAAGGTGCAAACTGACCAGTGGCGCAAGGCTGCAGAAGCAGCTGCTGCAATGCTTTCAGCAGGTAATAATGGGAAGTTCATAGAGAGAACTGGTTCATTGGATAGCAATTATAATCCAGTTACAGGAAAGGTTAGCTCACCTTATGCTGAAGATATGGATGATGATTTGCTGAAGAAGAAAAATGGGAACATGCTAAAGAAGATTGGGGTCTTGTGGAAGAAGCCACAGAAATAGAACAACACCACGAGGCATGCTAAACATTTTTTTTTTTTCAAAATTTCATAGATTCTATGTTACTATCTTGCTATCTCTCTAACCGAGTTTTCTCCCCTTATTTCAACAGATACTTTCTGGTACGGTGATCAGCCAAGTCTTTGCTGTGAAACTCACAATGAGCACTATTTGGAAGTTTCATAGTTATATTATGATGATGGAAGAACACTGGTGATAGCATATTTTCTTTCTTTTCTTTTTCTTTTCCTCGGATATGTAAAATGTGGGTGTCGTCACCTTGTGCTTAAAGGATCAAACTTTTACCTCTTGACAATGCGAGTTGTGGTGGTTTTGACTTGGATTCCATAGTTATTCTGTTAAGCTGCTTGCTTAATATGGCCATCATTCATCATTTGCTAAGTGCTAATATGAATCATCAGTTTTTTTTACCTTGGTACTCTCCTTCCATTCCATGAGGTAATGATATGCGGTAAGTTATAGTGGCACACACTGCTGTGGAGCCCACATGTGAATCAAGTATTTTTGGATTGCATCGGCAATTTTGCATGCATCTAGGTTCTTGGATGGCACTTGTTTCTGATTTATTTACATGACGCCCAGACCATAACACCTCTTTTTGTAAGTTTGACCCAGGACAGAAAAAAGAGGTGACAAGCTTTAGGATTGAAGCAACATGCTTCGTTTCGAGTACATTGGGTATTTTTTTTTTTTTTTTTGGATTATTGTAACCTTTAAATTATAATAAAATGATTAATGTGATACATAAATTTTAAAAATTTTTAATATAATATTTGAATTATGAATTAATTAATTAATTTAATATTCACCTTTAAAGTTGTTAATTTCAAATGATGATAAGTGATAATAAATAATTTTTTAAATATCATATTAATTAATAAATTTATAATTAAAATATCATATTAAAAATTTTTAAAGTTTAAATATCACATTAAATGATGATAAGTGATGTACAAATAATTTTTTTTTCATATTACATTAGTTAATAAATTTATAATTAAAATATCATATTAAAAATTTTTAAAATTTAAGCATCATATTAAATATTTTAGGATAATTTAAAGGTCATTCATAATATTAATATTTTCTTTTTTGAACATTGGCTGATTTTTTATTGCTAATATTTTTAAGCATGAATCTCATAAGCAACTTTAAAATTTGTGAGCAAAATGCCTTTTCCCCGCCACCCAACACAAAAAATTGGAGTTAAATTCTGTAGCATGCACTGATTCTTCATTTATTTTTTAAAGTAGTGGTGTTCTACACATTATATGATATAAACATGCGTTTTCAAACTTTTAGTTTAGTGATTAAAGACGTTTAAAAAAATATTAAAGATCTAATTTCGAATCAGCCTCTTTTTTTTTTTTTTTTACTTATATTAGGGCTTTGTTTTTCTTACGTAATAATAAAAAAAAATGGACATGAACATGTTCATCTAAATATGCAGTAAACTATAAAAGAATTAAATGTATACATTAATTTTATTCTTTTTCACTCGATAAAAAACTTCAAATTATTTCTATCAAAAATCATAACCTTAACCAAAGTTCATTTTTAACTAATATTATTAGTTTTAAATAGGTTTTTTAGTCAACTAAGAAAATAATAATTTTTGCTAAGCTCAAAAATAAATTTTATTTCTGTATTATAAGTTCAAGTGCCAAACATAAAAATTGAGAGACACAGCTTACAATTAATTTCCACCTTTAACTTTTTTTTTTTTTATTCTCAGCTGTTTTTGAATCCTCTCAACGTGAAGAAACGGAGTCCAAATTTCCAGTGTTAACAGCTTTTGTGTGTGAATGTAACATAAAAATTGCTGTCATAAAAAGCTAAAGTAGCTCCTGTTCCATAGACAAGAAAACAATAGCCAATTACCTGTTTTTTTCCCTTCTTGTGGAAGGGGGGAAAGCATATTGTCAAAAACTGTTGCTGGAAAAGGGTATTGAACAATAAACATCAATTCATATTTTAATCAAAGTGGATGATACCAAATTAAGTTTCCTAATTAATTATATAAATTAAATCCAAAATCTAAATTTGTTAAGACGAAATTTCAAGGAGAAGATACTCAAACAAAAGGCCGTTGTCCACACTGCAAGACAAAAAGATTTTCACTAGAAGAATCAAAAGGACAGTATTCTTTTTCTTTTTCCCCATTGTAGAGATTTTTGTCTCGTTTGGAACTTGATTGGTTTGGATTTGTTTACCTTAGCTTATGTGTGAATGAAAATGTCTTAAAACGACAATAAATGTTAGGTTAGAAGTCAGAATTAATTTTGTTTTCAAAATAAGAATTTAAATTTAAAATTCGAACTTAAGGTGCATTTGAAAGTTATTTCTCATCACACTCATCAAAATGATATTTTGATATAAATAAGTTTAATCCAAGTATTGAAGTTTATTACTTTATCGGATTTCAAATCTTAATTAATATTACGCTCATAGTTTTTATATTTAAATAATATGATAATGAGACAAGTAAACTGAATTATTAATTTTAATAATGAACATTTAAATTCTGACTGTTTGATATAATATATATACACGATGATGATGATGATGACCACAACGACGACTCTTATTAAGTCCAAATGTCGATGCTTAAGATAATAGTTTAGTACAACGTTAAATCTCATTTACGACAATTCTCTCACTCCCGTATCTTAAGTTAGATTTGGTTCATGGTCAATCCCGAGATTTTTTATTTCATTGGCTCACTGAAATTTTAATATGCAGCTTAGGGGAGAGCATAATCCAATTTCGTTATATTAGTAAATTAAACCATGTCAATTTTATAATCTGCTAGCTGTTTTATTCCAAGAATCTATCTGAAAGTAATAAGAAGCAACGATTGACAGAACATCTATGAAACGCTAACCTGATTCAAAATCTAAGTCTGTACTTCAGACAGTTCACACTGGTGAAACCATGAAACATCAATCTCACTCATTCATTCTTTTCTCCAAAATGGAAACTATATTATATATTTTCCTCTGCAGCTGCCATAATTGGTTAGCAGACAAATTTGAAATATCATTAGTTTATCAACCAACAATAGAATTAAAAAAAAAAAAAAACAGAGGTAAAAAAAAAAGCGAAATACTGATGATTCTGGTGATCAATCAAAACTCCTAACACAAAAACTCAAAAAAAGATTAAAAACTGAAATACTCTCAGTTTTAATATAAGAAGAAAACTCTTGTAGTTTTCTAACTATAAGAAGAAAACTCTCCATTTTTCTAACTATATATTAAGAAGTCCATGCCAAGATGAATTGAGTCCATTCCAGCTTTCTTTTCCTGAATCAAGATCGCCCATGTTATAACCATCTCCATTGAGCTGCCAGGGCAAACCCCATAAGATTCTATTCTCATTTTCTCTACCAGTACATAACTCTTGCTTCATTGTTGTAACTGTCACAGCTGATGTTGTTGCTGTTGTTGCATTACTCATTTCTTCAGAATTATTGTATGGTAGCATCATTTCCCCACTAACTACACTTCCAACTCCATTGTCCACCTCTCCCATGTTCTCATTCCCAAAACCATAATAAAAATTCTGAAGATTGTTCTGGGTCCCAAGAAAGCTGCCTCTGAGTGCATCAATAAAATCAGGATTGGCAGCTGAACTACTGTTAAGGCTGAGGTTTCCAAGAATATCACAATGGGTGTTAATTGGGTTTCCAATAATAGAAAGGTCAGGATCATCAAACCCTAACTGCCCACTTGATTGTTTTTGGAGCCTAGCAAAGGCCAGGCTGAGGTCATTGGTGTCATAATTACTCAAAGGTGGGAGGTGACTAGTGAGTGGGTTGGTATTGGGTGTCAGTGATTGATCTTGGCTCCTCTTTGATGATGATCTTTTGTTCTTCCTGCAGCCACCACCCACTGGAACATTTCTCAGTGTGCCTCCTTTGGTCCAGTACCTTCTGCATGACTTGCAAAAATACCTTGGCTGAGAAAGACTGTAGTTGTTGTAGTAACAGAATTTGGTGTTGGTGGAATCACATCTTGGGCACTTGAGAGCTTGTTCTGGTTGAGGCCTTGGCTTTCTTTCTTGCGGTCCTTTAGAGTAAACCAGCATGTTTTCCATTGAAGGGTTTGGCATCTCCTGAATTAATTAACCAAAAACAGGAAAACAATTGTAGACATGTATTAGACCAAATTGCAAGAAAATTTGCAATCATGAGTGGGGTCATCGTGGGAGAGTTTAGGGGATTTAAATAAAATTCTTTTCGTTCATATTCACTTACAAAATTGATTGTAAGCATGAATGAACGAGAAGAAGAAAGAAATTCAGGGTCATGATGTGGGATAGGATTGAATGAGATATTATGATTCTTTTCCTGTTCCTATTAGTTTCCTAATTACACCCATATGAAGCATGTAGAAGCCAGAATCTTATCTAATCAATCAAGATATCAAAACAGAAGGTAAAAAAAAAAAGGAAATCAAAGCTAAAACTTGTTCCAATTTAATCAAATCAGAAGAATTCTGTGACAGGAAAGAAAACAACACTTGTTTCATGAAAGAACATACATAAAACACAAAGCTCCAATTTCAAAATTTTCTGTTACATCCCTTTGGTTTTTATCTTGACAAACAAAACAAGGAAAAAACCAAAAAGAAAAAGATAGGGAAAGAACAAAAAAAGGGTAAAGTTCATTAATTACATCATTAACATGTGCAAAACAACTAGTTTTCTTTATAAAAAAAAAATACTGTGATCATATATATGTATACCTGGCGTTGTCCGCTTGAAGGATCCATCCATGCAACAAAAAAAAAAGTAAAATCCAACAATCCTAAAGGAATTCCAACTTGTTTTTCCTGTTGGGGGGGAGGGTTTTCTTTCAAGAGAGTGAAAAGTATACTGTATAGTATATGAAAGAAAAGAAACGAGAGAGAAGGTCTGTTTTTTTTTTTTTTTTGCTATCAGCTCAAAAGTCATGCAAAGCAAAGTGGAGAGAAAATGACACACCCTCTCCTCCCCATCTAAATATATAAAGCAAATTAAAGCCCCCACACCTCACCCTACAAAGAGAGATAGAAAGAAAAACCTAGCTCAGCTGCTATTCCTTTCCCTTTGGGGGCTTGTCGTTGTGGGACCCTTTCTCGCGTGGTTGCAACTATACTGCGGGGTCCACCGGAGTTGGGGTCCCACCCTCTACCTCCATCACCAGGCGCAGCAGCTCCCCATCTCAGTCACTCTCCCTAAAAATCATCCGATCGCCCAGAAACTCTGCCACTCAAATCACTTTGTACTACACACAAAAACATGAGGACACTAGCATAAACCTCGTGTTTCGAGAAGATCACGACAAAAGCAACCCTGTTATTTATCTGTTCTTTAAAAAAAATCTACGTTACTGTTACAACAAATTAACCTTAAAAAAAAATTGTCAGTTTATCATTAGAATTGAGAGTATATTATTTTACTAACAAATCAAAAGATTGTTGATAATGATTATTTTATTTTATATGTCAATTTTCCTAAATAAAGCATCAGATTAAAGTCAAAGTAATTGCATCTTTAGTTGCCTTATAAATACAAAAATTCTTTGGGAAATCTTTTAAGATTTAATCTTTTACACT